GCTAGCTGGCATTACATGGTGTTGGCAAGGAGCGGCTAATGGGCAATATTTGATGGAGTGTTGTGAGCTGTGTGTGTATTTGTGTGTGTTTGTTGCTGCATTTTATTCATTGATTATGTATCTGTTTGCAAAGTGTTTGTGTGTGGCCTGCCATGTGGTTCTTGTATGTTTTTTCTCTCTGTGCATCTGTGCGCAGGTGTGTTTACATGTGTGTGTGTGGCCCTTGAATGTTGTGTGTGGTGTGTGTGTGTGTGGTGTGTGTGTTGTGCATTGCTGTGCCCCCCTCACCTGTGGTACAATCAGTCGATGTCTCCTTGAGTTAGCTTGCGGCGCCGCAGCATGCTGCCTAGTGAGACTTGTTTACTGTCAGGGTCTGCAGTTTCATAGCCCTGATGGATGACCCTCATGACAAGTCATTACACTCACCTCACTTTCATAAAAAGAAACACACACCAACTTTGGATGAAGTGCGAAAAAGTGAAGGTATATGTTTGTGTGTGTGTGTGGCACATGCCAGCAATGTATGCCAACAGGTGACAAACAGTGGGAGTTATTTCATTTCATGCCCCATGCCCTGAAACTAACTACGGTATATTTTTGTGTTTGTATGTATGTATTTCAGTGTTTTTTTAATTGGTGTAATTAATGTACACATGGTGAAGCCTTCAAACTTTTTCATGTTTTTACATCATATGTGTTAAGGTGTGTGTGTTGTGTGTGGTGTGTGTGGTTGTGTCGAGTACAGTTGTGTAAAGCACCATTGTTGTAGCTTGGGTGTGTCTCTCTGCACTGTGTGTGTGTGTGGGTGTGTGTTGTGTGTGTGTGTGTTGTGGTGTGCACGTGGTGTGTGCAATGGTGATAGCATTGCTTTGGGCGCATTCTGTGTGGTACGTTGTACACTGTGCACCAGGGGAGGGCTCGGCGCCTTTAGTTAGGATTTTTAGGTGGCGATGTTCCTTTATTGCCTGGGTTCATGTGGGCACCGGTGCCACTCCTTGGTGCTGTGGTGCCCGCTGAGGCGTTGGGAGATTAAAGCGGGCGCACGCTTGCCACCAAAGGGGCCTGTCTAGTAGCTTTAATTCCCCTAAATTAGACGCATGGTGCCAAGGCAGCTCCCTGCTTTATGGAAAACACTCCATAACTGGCACCATAACTACTGCTCAGCAAGACAACCAAAGAGAGAGAGAGAGACAGACAGGACAGGATTCTTGAAGAAGAGAAAGAGAGAGAGAGACACTGAATACTGGAAGAAAAAGATTCCCGTCACTCTCTCTTTTTTCACACACTTGGGACACACATGCCTTGCGATATTGTAATTAGCAGTCATAGCTTTTGCTAGTTTGCGGGGGACTGTCTGGTAATTTGCTATCACCTCACATCCCTTTATTCAGTAAGTTCAGTTTGCAATGATGTCAGAATCACCAAGTGGAATGTGCATTGCTTGCTGTGGGTTTGTTGTGTGGTTATTGGGTTTACTTTGTTTATATTCTTGTCTTTTTCTTTGTGAATTGATTTGTGTGTGTCGTGTGTGGTGTGTCTGATATATAATCTGTTTTATGGGATTTCCATACCTAAGTTGTTGCAGTGGCACGCCACTAAAGAAACAGTAGTGACACTTGGTTGGTATTCGTGTGTGTCTTTACATATTTCTGTGGTATGTGTAGTTGGTGTGTGTGTGTTCATGCCCTCGGGTAGTGGCATTGCTGCTAAAGCTAGGTGTACGGACACTGGGGGTGGTTGTATGTCAGTCTCTGAGTTCCTTTTCTCTGTTCTGCCTAATCCAAATCCCACTTTCTGATGCTGCGTTGGCCATGAGTACATCAAACTCAGACCACTGCCAGGTCACTGTTGGTTCGTCACAGGATCTCTGATACTTTGTTTCCTGTTTTTGTGTGATCCTGCATTTTTTTCAGTTTGTATTGATAATGTCTTCTCTGGAGAAGTGATATTCGGATAACTTCTTGTAATTTTTTTGGTGTTTGTAGAAGGAAGCTGTCTCTGAGTGAAGTTTTATTGTTCTTTTAATCTTGTGGACTTGTGATGATTATAATCTAATTGTTAAGCAATGCGTATGTTGGGTGAGTTTCGAATGTCTGTTGTTCATTATTATTTCCAGTCTT